ATGCACTTGTTCCTAGTAGCCTCTTGTTACTACTAGTAAGGCACTTGCTCCTAGTAGCGATGCACTTGTTACTGGTTGCAAAGGAGCCGAGCGTGGGCATGACCAATTGGTCCAACAACTGCTACCTCAACGCAGCAGGGGAGCCACAGGGATCCGCCAGACTCCCCTGTTGTCTGTTGCCATTCTTAAACCTTCTTAATGTTGTTCCGTTCGTAGCGTCCATGTTCCTAGTAGTACGGCCAGGAGCCCCTGGTAGCGAACATTGCTCCTAGTAGCGATGCCAGGAGCCCCTAGTAGCTTCTCAAATAAGTAGGCACCTACTTGCTGAATTAAGGAAGGGACTAAACAAGCTCCTAGCAACTTAAGCTATTTGTATGGACGCAAGATAGCTCACGCTTCTTCAAGGAAGCGCCTCCCGCCCAAAGGCGAAGCTTCCTTGAAGAAGTGCTCGCACAAATGATTTGGCTCGTAACAATGTTTGCTATTAGAATTAAACTAAACAATAAATTAAAATAATAGCTTCTTGTTACTACTAGTAAGGCACTTGTTACTAGTAGCGATGCACTTGTTACTACTAGCTTCTTCTTAGGAACCATTGAGCAAAACCTTTAGATTTAATCCTAATTGCAATGGCCTTCATTCTAATAGCTTGGAGAACTTACTTCTCAGGAGAGTCGCGCAAGAGGAGCCCCTAGTAGCATCCTTGCTCCTAGTAGCGATGCCAGGAGCCCCTAGTAGCGTGTAGCGATGCCAGGAGCCCGTAATAGCGTCCTTGTTCCTAGATTTTGGGTTCCTAGAATCTTAGGGAAACTTTTTGTATTGAGTTGCTGTCCGCGTCAGTGTTTTGTTGCCAGTTTTGTGCGAATGGGTTGATAGTTGCTGGCCTTTGGCTTAACCCTGTCATACCCTGTGCCGAATGCGACAGGCGCGGTGTGCTTCAGATTGTTGATATTTGTCTAGAAAAGCTTCGATCAAGGGAAATGAAAGCTTAAAAGCTCAAACCATTAGGAAGCATGTGGAACCATCAAAAGCTTGAAAGCTGGGACGACATTGTCCTCGAGTTTCTACAAGCAGGCATGATCTATGCATGTGATGCAAGCAGGCGCACAGGCAGGACATGCTGCGAGATCAATGCTGACAATGCACATTTGCGATTCAACCATGCATGGAACAAATTCCCTAGTAGGTTGGAGGCCATCGCTTGTAGGTTGGAGTCCATTGCAATTCGAATTAAATTGGAGGCCATCCACCTAGTAGCTTCTTGTTCCACGTAGTAATGCCAGGAGCTACTAGTAGCGTCCTTGCTCCTAGTAGCGATGCCCTTTTTTACTAGTAGCTTTTTGTTAGAACAAATCACGGTGCGTTCTTTCAGGCCCTCCATGGAGGCAGCACACTTAGTGATGGTGAGCAGCTGAGATGAAGGGCACATGTAGGGTGAGAGATTCTTCAGTGGAGGCCCGCGCAGGTGGCATCATAAGGGTGACCATTTAGGGAGCAATACGACCTGCGTTTGGAATAGACATGAAAGAAAAAAAGACGCTACTAGGGGCTCCTGGCATCGCTACTAGGAACAAGGGCCTTACTACTAGTAACCATGTTTGCTATTAGAAACATGAAAGAAAAGTAATTAGAATTCAATAGACATGAAACAATAAGCTACTAGGAACAAGTGCATCGCTTCTAGTAACAAGTGCCTTACTACTAGTAACAAGAAGCTATTAGAAACATGAAAAAAGACGTTAAAACGAAGAAAGAAATAGACGTTCCACGTGTGTTTGACTTTCCACGGATTCAAGGTGCGACTACTTTAGCATTGAGAAGCTCAGCGTCCAAAATGACGCACCCCGAACTCATGACGCTGCTCAACGTTGCGACTGCCAGCCTAGGTTTCTTTGGCTTTCTTTTCTTAGGCGGTATTAGATTGGAGGCCATCGGTAGTAGGTTGGAGGCCATCGCTATTAGGAACCTTGCACATGACTGCACTATCCCCAAGCAGCTTTGCTCGACACTTCTTGCGATTTAACTTTGTTCGCGTCACCCCATTCTCAGACTCGCTGGAGTGTGCATTTCTTATTGTTACTATAGTAGTAAGGCACTTGTTACTACTAGCCTACTAGCGTGGCACTTGTTACTAGTAGCTTCCGCCTCATGCTTCCAACTTGTCCTAAACTTCATTGATCATCGTTTCACATGTGCGCCTCCACCTAGTGGCTTCTAGTAGCAAGGCCAGGAGCTACTAGTAGCGTCCTTGCTCCTAGTAGCGATGCCCTTTGTTACTAGTAGCGATGCCCTTTGAGAAGGCCCATCCCACTTTTAATCCAAAACTAGAGCAACTGGGCATCAATTGCTCTATCATCGTGGCTTAGGTTTCCTTGCTTCCAACTCGATATTTGTGTTTTGATGCCAAGCGCATTGCTGTGATAGGCCAACTTTATTTAGCAACCCGTTTTTTCAATTAAAGTCCGACATGCATGGTGCCAAGGTTACACTCGTCCCAAGTACGACTTTGTGCCTTGAAAGAACACGGTCGAGCGAGGAGAGAAAAACAAGAAGACAATATGGCAAAATCACTGTACGCAAAAGACAATATGAGAAGAACATGGCTAGTAGGTTGGAGGCCATCGCTCTTCAGCGCTCTTAGGTTGGAGGCCATTGCTTTAAGAAAACATGAGAAGAAATAAGAACAAAATGACCCAGACATTTGTTCTCCGTCTCTTTGGCAGCTGAGGTTTATATGCCATGGGCCAAATTGGTCAGGAGCCCCGAAACCCGAGAACCCTCAGATGTTGTGTAACATCAAAGCCTTGAAAGCACTTCTGCACCACACACTGTTGAGACGCTTTATAAACATCATGAATAGCTAGTACATGAATGCCCTTTGTTACTAGTAGCGATGCCCTGGCTCCTCGTAGCTTCTTGTTACTAGCAGTAAGGCCAGGAGCTACTAGTAGCGTCCTTGCTCCTAGTAGCGATGCCCTTGAACAACGTGTTTTCCTTCAACATTTTACGTCTTCACGGCACAGCCACCGGCACATATTTGCTGCCAAGGCCTTTGTGAACTTTGAAGACCATGAGAGCTGCAAGGCGCCTTGTTAGGAAGGGGAACGAAAGGAAAAGGATGGACAAGTTTATCGGAGAGGGAGACACGGTGAATGTGAGTTGGCTGTGAGTCAACAAGAGCATCTATACAGAACGCTACTAGGGGCTCCTGGCCGTACTACTAGTATCTTACTACTAGTAACAAGAAGCATTTATTAAAACGTGTAAAAAACACCACGGTCGCGAGACGGTCGTGAGACGGGTCGTGAGACGGTGCTGAGGCATACTTTGGAATCTTTCGCAATGTGTGCAGACTGGGCCGCTTGGGACCGGAAGTTTGCCGAAAAAAGAGACAAAGAAGCTACTAGGAACAAGTGCATCGCTACTTTGCCGAAAATAGTAGCTTCTTCTTCTTGCCAGTAGTAAGAATGCTCCTAGTAGTAATGGCCTTTGTTACTAGTACTGATGCCCTTTGCTCCTAGTAATGCCCTTTACTAGTAGTAACAAGAAGCTACTTGGAACAAGTGCATCGCTTCTAGTAACAAGTGCCTTACTAGTAGTAACAAGAAGCTACTAGGAACAAGTGCATCGCTTCTAGTAACAAGTGCCTTACTAGTAGTAACAAGAAGCTACTAGGAACAAGTGCATCGCTTCTAGTAACAAGTGCCTTACTATTAGAAACAAGAAGCTACTAGGAACAAGTGCATCACTACTTTGCCGAAAATAGTAGCTTCTTCTTGTTGCCAGTAGTAAGAATGCTCCTAGTAGTAATGGCCTTTGTTACTAGTACTGATGCTCTTTGCTCCTAGTAGCGATGCCCTTTGCTCCTAGTAGTAAGGCCAGGAGCCCCTAGCAGCGTCCTTGCTCCTAAGGATTGGAGAATCCAGGTGTTTCTGATGTGGCTGAAGCATTTGTGCAGGGTTTGGCAGAGAACTTGGCCTTCTTCATATCCAAATGCGGATGGGAGGCACAAATGCGGGTGGCCGGTTCCACCTACGGCATCCTACGGCTCTGGAAAAGGGGCACAAAGATTGTCCGAACAAAGAGAGGGCCATCAGAGAGTGTAAGACTGGGGTTTAGGGTTTAGGGTTTTAGCATCCTTGCTCCTAGTAGTAAGGCCAGGAGCCCCTAGTAGCTTCTTGTTACTACTAGTAAGGCACCTGTTACTAGAAGCGATGCACTTGTTCCTAGTAGCTTCTTGCTCCTAAAATGAGTTACCGCTTTTTGTTTTTGTTCTCGACGTGTCAGGCAATCACTGACGCAAGAGCACCCTTGGTCTTCGAACAAGGCAACTTGCCTTTTTTTGGAGAGTGGCAAAGCTGAAGCAAAGGAGCAAGGACGCTGCTAGGAGCAAGGAGCAAGGACGCTACTAGGGGCTCCTGGCCTTACTACTAGGAACAAGAAGCTACTACTAGTAGCTTTTTCGCGCATGCTCCCAGTAGTAATGCCAGGAGCCTAGTAGCGTCTTTGCTCCTAGTAGTTGGAGGCCATCGCTCTGAGGGTGGAGGCCATTGCAAGTAGGTTTGAAGCTTTGCGCAAAACAGCCGAGGAGAACCGCTAGTTCTAATGGATGCTATCGATAGGCACGTGAGTGCAGGGCTCCTGGCCGAATACCAGCGTAGATTGAGAAGTCATCCGAGCTTCGTCTGCAGTTGAAAGACACGCCACATCGATTATTTTCGGTTTCGACTCCATCCTGACCCAGCTGAGGAGTCAGTTACTCACTTTGATTAGTTTCCTTGCATATATGTGTTACAGGTTGAGTGGAAGGATTTGGGGGTTTTCGCCTGGAGTTTTTGTGGGCATCGCTCTTAGGTTGGAGGCCGTCGCCCCTAGTTTGGAGGCCATCACTACTAGGTTGGAGGCCATTGCTTTTATGTTGGAGGCCATCGCTACAAGTAATTGATGTTCAGATTCCAGATTCTGTGCGTGTGTTTGAGCCCAAAACTTGCGTTCCAGCGTTCTACCATACATACACTTGACCACACTCTGAGCCATTCTTTACTAGCTAAATATGCAAAGTGGACACCTCCCAGCTTTTGCCAAGTGAGTCTCTATGTCACAAGAGTCTCCCTTCAGAATTTCAGGGACTCAACCTACTAGCAATGGCTAACACTCTACTTGAGATCACCAGGTAGATTTCATAAATTTCATGCAGTGCTTAGCGGACCATGGTTCCATGGTTCCTCTCTCCATCGTTCCTCTGACTCAACGAATTCAAGAGAGAAAGAGACATTATTGATATGATTATGTGTAATCGTTCTCGGATTATCACTGTGTTTCTGGGGAAGAACACTTTAGGTGGTGAAAGGGAAAAACAATGATTCTAGATTTAGAGGGAAATCCAATCTTTGGAATTATTGTTATTTGTCTATTGTCCTTTTTTCTCTTTGAACAAGACGTAGACGTAGAGTCTTACTCACAAGATGTTTTCGTTCCTACTTATCGGATTTTTGGCTGGTCTTCTGCTTCTTTCATTCACAATTGTAGCTTAGTTCGGCCTTTCGTTTTGAGGGATCACTCAATTCCTTCAGCTACGTAGTGGAGGTCTCAACTCCCATGACTCACGTCCCATTCCGCTATCATTCCGGGATAGGCAAAGTTGAGCACAACCAAAAAAAATCAGAAGAGGTCTAAAGAAAGAAGACACAAAATGGTCTAAAGATCAAAAGAACAAGAAACGAACGACAATCAACAGAAGCTACTAGTAACAAGAGGCTAGGGGCTCCTGGCATCGCTGCTAGGAGCAAGGACGCTACTAGGGGCTGCTGGCCTTACTACTAGGAGCAAAGGACGCTACTAGGAGCAAGTAGAAATGGACAACATGAAAAAACCACGCGGCCATGCTTGTCCCTGTTGGTGATGTGGTGCCGGATTTGATCAGTCTGAATGGATGGCTAATAGTAGCTTCTTGTTCCTAGTAGTAAGGCCAGGAGCCCCTAGTAGCGTCCTTGCTCCTAGTAGCGATGCCCTTTGCTCCTAGTAGCTTCTTGTTCCTGCTAGTAGCGATGCCCTTTGCTCCTAGTAGCTTCTTGTTCCTAGTAGTAAGGCCAGGAGCCCCTAGTAGCGTCCTTGCTCCTAGTAGCGATGCCCTTTTCTCCCAGTAGCTTCTTGCTCCTAGTAGTACGGCCAGGTCCTTGCTCCTAGTAGCGATGCCCTTCTAGTAGCTTCTTGTTCCTAGTAGTAAGGCCAGGAGCCCCTAGTAGCGTCCTTGCTCCTAGTAGCGATGCCCTTTTCTCCCAGTAGCTTCTTGCTCCTAGTAGTACGGCCAGGTCCTTGCTCCTAGTAGCGATGCCCTTTGCTTCTAGTAGCTTCTTGTTCCTAGTAGTCTAGTAGTAAGGCCAGGAGCCCCTAGTAGCGTCCTTGCTCCTAATAGCGATGCCCTTTGCTCCCAGTAGCTTCTTGCTCCTAGTAGTACGGCCAGGTCCTTGCTCCTAGTAGCGATGCCCTTTGCTCCTAGTAGCTTCTTGCTCCTAGTAGTACGGCCAGGAGCCCCTAGTGGCCCTAGTAGCGTCCTTGCTCCTAGTAGCGATTTGATCAGTCTGAATGGACGGCTAGAGATGAGATCACTCTTGAATCGCTTGAACAAGGAGAAGTGGCAGTTTACGTGCCCCACAAGCTCAATGGCGAGCAGTTCAAGTCGATCACAGCATCTGAGCAAAATCACTAAAACACATTGTTTCCTTGAAGCCAGCAGACTCGTAGACTAACATGTTTTCATTGACTTCAGTGGCTTCCAAGTAGCAGAAACGTTGCAACATCACATGATGTACCATCGCTGCGAGGTTCTTCAAGCGGTACCATCGCTGCGAGGTGGTCTTTCAGTTGGAGAACAGTGTTCACGTTCAAACACATGATATAAAGAAGAGTAACAATAAGCTACTAGGAACAAGTGCATCGCTTCTAGTAACAAGTGCCTTACTAGTAGTAACAAGAAACTACTAGGAACAAGTGCATCGCTACTAGTAACAAGTGCCTTACTAGTAGTAACAAGAAACTACTAGGAACAAGTGCATCGCTAAAGAAGAGTCAGAGACCGGTAACTTTGAAAAACGACATTTTAGTGAGCATTCGCTTCAGCACGTAGGCCGGTATCAAGCAGTGGAGCTGGAGTGGTATTCCAACTGTGACTCTCGGCCGGTCCTTTTCCAACGAAAGGCCGCCGAGCCACAAGAATGTTGATATCATTGATATTATTTTTGATATCTTGCTCTTTGCCTTTTGTCTTGTGGTGTTTGACCACAAGCCCGCACGTCCAACATTGGCGTCAAGTCTTGAGTTTGCAACTTTGGGATGGAAGGCGTTTTCGCTGAACCACCTGAATCCACTTTGGCATACTTTTGCAACATTCGCAACAAGGCAAAGTTAGCCAAAGCTAACACTCTACTTGAGATGGCCTCCATCCTAGCGATGGCCTCCAACCTACTAGCGATGACAAGCCAAAGTTGGATCATAGGTTTTTTGAAGCCGGAGCTGTTTCACCGCCAAATAAGCACCACTTTCAGTGACGATTCGACTTTGAGCCATTCACTGGGAAAGCGAGATGGCTTTCTTGATATCCTGGGAAGGTGCTGTGTCTTAGGCAACGTGAAGTGTTGCACATTTGGCATTTTCGTTTTTATGTCTTCACAAATGTCAGTAGCTCAGCTCAGTAGTGTGTGTTTCCATTTTCCGCTCATTCGTTGCGCATCAGCCTGAGGGCTTGGGCCAGATGAGCTAGAGAGTGTATCGCTAGCGCAGCTAGCGCAGAAGTGATCAAGACCCTTTTCAAAGGGCCTCTTTTTGACGGGTTTCGTAAAGTCCTCCTCAGAGAAGGACGAAGGAATACGAAAGACGATGCTGAAACGGGGGGTTTTGACGAGTTGAGACCAAAAAGTCCGCAACGGTGCTGACGGGTTATGCCACGGGCCACACTGATGTTTGAAAGTGTGTGAAGGATGTGTCCAGTTCTTTTTGGAACTGTCAGGGTGTTTGCCTACCAGGTCTGCCAGTGCTTGTTGCACACACCAATGCTGCGGAAGCATTTGCAAGACACTTGCAACGAGCCGCTCGAGGCATGGGATTGAACAAACAGGAAGACATTTAGATTGTGGATTCTTCAAGGAGCTTCCCCTGCTGAGGGGAAAATGAAGAAAACACAAGAAAACACATCTTACTGTCAATCCTGGGTGTTTTTAGAGGGTTTTGTCGAGGATCCTTGGCTTGCAGAGCTCCTGGGTCTCAGTGCCTTAGACAGAGTTCATTCTTGTCGCGTGTCTGGTCAACGAGTCAGTAGGTAGAAGCTACTAGGTGCACCCTCTGCATCTCCCATGTGGCAACATTGTGGCTTGTGTTGTGACACCGCCCCAAACTTCCGCCGCGTAACGCATACGGCCGCATCATCTGACGTGCGTGCGCCAACATGCTCGCCAGTGGTTCGCCGCCACTTGGAGCAGATCAACAGGTCTGGCAGTAATCTACATCTCCAAAGCGAATCTACATGGATCTGTGTTCTTTTCCTTGTGTTCCTGTCGAATGACGAATCTTTCTTCTTCCGGGTGCGGACAAGTGCACAAAGTTGCAGCATGAAAGTACATCCCACAGCGATCCTCTTTGTCCTTGCTCTACTTTGCAGTTGGCAAAGTGTGTCTTCTCGCAGCATGTTGTTGCAAGTGTTATTGTTGCTAGTAGGTTGGAGGCCATTGCTTCTAGGGTGGAGGCCATCGCTACTAGGTTGGAGTGCTTGTCATTCAAGTTAGTTCTCCGATGCCAAACCGTACGATGCAGCGTTTTCCATTAGTCTTTCTGCGTTCTTTCTCCATTTCTCCGATTGTCCAGGCGTAATCTCGCATTCTGAACCTGTTCCTTCTCATTTTGTCAATTCACTGTTGCCTGTCCATGTCATGTTCATTAGACATATCATATCTATTTGTTGAAACAAACGTTGTGGAGCGGCTCCTTCGTTCTGGCACTGGCGTGTCGGTGAGGTCGCTTGATCGACGCAGCAAAGCGCCGCGGTACCCGCTATGTCGGGAACTGGGAGTCGACTGGACTGGAGGCTATTAAAGAAGCTACTAGGAACAAGTGCCTTACTAGTACTAACAAGAAGCTA